ACAGATCATCTTCTGTTGCTTTTGAACTTCTCTTATGAAGCCTCATCTAATTAATCACTGCTGGAGTGGCCTCTGAGTTATAGGGACCACAGATCTGTGCTAAAGAAGCAATTGCTAATCCAAAATTAGCAAATTGGAAGTTTGCTTCACTTGAACTATTGAATAGTCTTTTTGAATTGATGGGCAAAGTATTTAAAAAAATCTTGATGTGAAACCTTTTTATTGGTGAATATGGGGGAATCATTTTTAAAATCAGAGCACCAGATAAAGGGGGTTGGTAGCTTGAATAAAACTGAGCAGGAATTTGTTCTGACTCTAATTTGTAATACTCTGAAATACTCTGAGCAGGAGGCAAGAATCTGCAGAAAGCCTCAGGGTTAAGGAGTGCTGCCTGGATGCTAGAACAGCTGGTGTCTTTTTTTTTTTTTGTTTAAAAAAAGATGCACCGAAGTGTTGAAAAACAAATCTGAGGAATGATTTTCTTTCGGTCAGAGGGGCGCAGCTTCGGTCAGAGGGGCACGTGAATGCAAAATTGGATAAAAATCAGGCATGGTCAGACTTAAATAGTGTGGCTGATTTTCATCTTTTAATTTAAATGTGCTGTCTGTTCTTCCCAACAGTATTTGCTTGCTTCAATATATAAGCAAGATGTTTTGATTTGAGCAATACTACTTGATTCTACTGCCTAGCTTGAGGTTTAGAAAGTTCTGTTTTTGCTTTCTTTGTAATGTTATATTTTTCCTAGGTTTGGGATAGTTTTTACTCTTCGTGTTCTTTCCTTTACATACTTGAGTCCCTGTCGATAGCGGGGAGGGACTAAGCAGCCTGGAAGCAACATGTCAATGAAGGTAAATTACCTTCATTATGTTTAGCACCTTGGTCTTTGTCCTGTTTTCCTGTTTGTTTTTGACAGCCAGTCTCAAACAGTAGCAGTCAAAATCATTGTCACACATCCCATCAGAAATGGCTGGTGTATATTCTTTCCTCACCATGAGAATGGCTGTGTAAATGAAAGTGTTTTTATATATACAACTTTTTTGGGGCAGCTGATACAACTTTTCCAGGAGGGGTCTGACAATCAACTCTTTTTTATGTCTTACTAAATTTGCATTAAGGGAAGGAGATTTTTTTTTTCTTTTCTGACTTGCAGAATTTTCTTTTTTCAAAAGTCTGCGGAGAACAATTACTCAGGACTGGAAGTCTGTTCAATTTAGTTATTGCTTCCTCTTGGGAGTATTGTTGGAGTGCTTAGGGTTTTCTGGTTCAAACAGAATTTCCAAATCTGCTGCCTTTTAATGCAGCCCATTATTTTTATTATTATTATTTTCAAAGCAGCTGGCTGAATTTTGCAGGTTCATTGCTATAAGACAAAGCTGCTAAAGAAAAGGATTTCTTTGTACTCTTTCAGCACTGACTGCTGCTCTTGCTGCTTTCACCTGTGATTCCCAAGTTTGTTTTTCCAGCAGACTGGTGCAATATGCTGAGTCCCTGTTCTACTTGTTCTACCTCTAGCCCCTTACTGCTGAGAAAGTGCAGATCCAGCCCTAGGCAATGATTGCTGTTTAAATTGGCTCTATAGGTATTAAGGAACTGGCAGAACAACCATAAATAGCCACCTTTGCAGTTTCCATCTTACAGTGTGTGGAGAAAGGGATGGTCAAAATTTGCTGTCTTCTGGCTTATCCTCAGCTTTAGGGTGGTCTCTATAGACACCATACTGCTGATAGCAAAGAGAAAGTGCTAAGAGGGGGCCAATATATTAATATTTTGTGGCCAGCCTGTGTCTAGGATTTGTGTGTGAGTAAAGTAGCCGTCTTTAAGGACAGCTAGCCAAGCTGTGAATGCGACGTGCTGGGCAAAACACTAGTCTTCAATGCTGCAAGTTGTGACTTGTGTACTGGTGCTGGCGACGAGTGATTTGTTTTTGTTTTATAATTATTCAGCAGAAGTTATGGGACCATGCAACTAAAGATACTATCGTGGTGAATGTACCCGTGGAGATGCTGAATCATAAACAGTGTGGTTTCAATGTGGTCAACAGCTGTAATTATCACTTGGTTAAATTTAAAGTGTGTGTATTATTTTTTTTTAATATTTACTTCATAGTAAATATATTCTTCTTTTTCCCATCCATTTTAGATAAATTTTACAGCACACCACTTTTTTTTCCCCTCACAAGAAAAAAAAAATCTGCAACTGGAATTAAGACTTGGCAAGAGACCTTCTAATCTTTCACTTGTTTCTTACACTTGATGATTTCAAGCAATTTGTCTGGCAGATGATCTAGCGTTAAATACTTAATAAGTTACAGGACTCTTTATTGTATTCCATTTTTTATTTCAGGCCATCTAACAAAAGAAGAACTTAATGCTGCTGCTGTTCAGTCAGGATGGAATCAGTTGTGTGGGAATGTGGATAAACATCTGCATGTCTTAACCTAATACCTACTCTATAATAATGTGAAAAGAAGAAGCAAGATGTTTCACACCTCTGCCTCCAACACATCACCAGGACTTCACAAACAGTGTTGTATACAAAGAGCATCCAAGTTTTGAAGAGCCTTAAAGAAGGACTGTAAATACTGGCATTAATTTGAAGTCTAAAGGTACGTGAGGCATTAAAAGCGTTTTCTGACTGGGCTCCATAACTGGCCCCCTTCGTGTGGAAGGATGGCCGCTCGCTGGATGTTCTGTTACCTTTGGCTTTTGGATGTTTTGGTTGGGCACACAAGGGGGCACAGCTTATTTTCGTGCGAGCCGATCATCTTGCGGATGTGCCAGGATCTGCCTTACAACACCACCTTTATGCCTAACCTCCTGAACCATTACGACCAGCAAACAGCTGCATTAGCAATGGAGGTAAGATTCCATCTTCTTTTTTCACCAGTATTTGTTTTAAACCTTTAATTGGCTAATTTGTAACAGAAATTCAAAAGATGTGTACATAATTTCAATATATAAACAAATACTACTTAGAAAAGATGTATTGTAATATATACTAAAATATTCTATGACTGCAGAATTTGCCTAATTTGGTATAACTGAATGTGAAATACTCTGGATGTGCTTGTGTGTTAGCCCGTTACTTTAAATATTTAGACAGATGGAGAACGCATATTTTGAATGAATAGCTGTCAGCTAACTACAAACCAGAAAGAAATGCATACGGAACAATCAATAAAAGATTTGTCGTTTTGAGTAGTATGTTCTTCAGTGGTTTGGTAGCATTTGGCCTTTTCTTACTCTGCAAAAATTGGACATGAATGAAATACAAACAAGAGATGGGTAATTTACCAATACACCTTTTTTTTTTTTTTTTTCCAACTGCAAGTAGATCTAATGTCTTGAAGTCAATTTATTTAACCTGTTTTTGTCCTATATCCAGACTGGCAAGCTGGTATACTTGTACTTTTCTTGTTATAATATTGTTACTAGCCACCATCATCTCCAAAAGCTTTCCTTGGGTTTACGTGTAATCATTTTCTCCTTTTTTAATTAGGTATATGACAAATTGTTCATTTCTTCTTCGGAATGTAGAACTTGGGGCATTAAAAGAACCAAGATAACCAGATTAACACCTCAGAGACCTGGGGGTTTTGTTTTGGTTTTGCCCAACTAAAAAAACTGCTCAATAACAGTTACTTGGGAAAGCCAAGTGAGGCTTATGCAAAAGGAAGTCTTGCCTTGCAAATCTCTTGGGATTCGACAAACATGGATAACAGTGATCCAGCTAATAGTCTACTTGACTGACCAGAAAATATTTTTTTAAAACTTGCATCCTGAATGTATATAAGAAAGTCATAGCAAGAATAGACAATTGCTAAGATTGGAATTATCTCATGGAGGTATATGCATAAATGATCTAGAAGACAGTTCGCAATAAGGTGAGAAAGTCTGTTGGGACTATTGTGAACACCTTAAAGCTTAGGCCAAACCAGAGTGAGGAATTGTAAAGATCCCTTTGAGATGATTTTGTACCTTGAGCCTTAAAACAGTGGAGGGAATTCAAAGCGGTAAATATGTGGGTTTTTTATAAGTACAAGGTATGTCAGGAGGAAATAATAATCTTCAGACCAGTGGTAGTGGTCAGCATGTTTTCTTGGACTTGGATGGTTTTGTTCTGTTCCTGCCTCTCTTGTGCTTCTCCGGTATCCACAGTTACTGAATTATGAGTGTTAGAGGATATATCCACGTCTGTTCCCTTTATAATATGATTTTATGGGCCTATTGTTGCTGAATTTGTCTAAATTATTTTTCGAAGGCAATACTACGTACCTAATCCTTTAGTGAAAGCAAACTCCAGAAGTTCACGAGCAGCGATGTAAAGAAGGATTATTCTCCAACTTATTTTAAATCAGTCTTCTGCTAGTTTCACTGAATACCCTTGTTGTTCTAGCATTGTGCAATATTGTTCTGCATTGACTTCCTCTGCTGCATTTGTGATTTTGGAAACCTCCGTTCTATCCCTCAGGCTTTTCCTCTCCAATTAGAAAAGTCCCAGCTGTTTGGGATTTTTTCTTGCAATTGAACTGCTTCATTCCAGGAACGGTTTTAGTTATCCTTCTCCAAACTGTTTCCAGCTCTCTGTCCTTGCGGAGATGCAGGGATGAGAACGGCACACAATACTCCACATGTAAGCACGCTAAGGATTTAAAGAAAATGATACTTTTTGTTGTTGAGAACGTTGGCCATTACTAAGAAGTTATCTTGTCTTTTTTGGCTTTTGTTGCTTGCTAGGCCAAATAATTTCAGAGAATTGTCAAAATATCCCTCTCGCTCTCCCTAATAGTCTGTTTATGGCCGCTGCTGGAAGCACAGAGGTAGATGATGTAGACCCTCTGTCCAAACCAGAGTGATTGTTATAATTGTTCTTATCTTCTCCAAATAGCTTTCTGCTAAGGAGAGAAAAAAGGGAATCTTCTTGATGCCAAGGTAATTTTTAAATGTAGCATAGGCCAACTGGTATTATATCCTATAAACACTAATGGGAGCACATGTAGTATTCCCTACTGCCAATTTAGTATAGGCCAGTGGTTTCAGCCTGGGGATGTGCTATAGGCTACTCCGGAATGCAGCACAGAAATACAAGGCTGTTGTCAGTACATTTAAATTCACTGTGCAGAGGCCTGCATCTCCATTCCAGGATTTTTTTTTCCCCTGGCAAAGCCCTAGAAAAAGAAAGAAAAACTACAGGTTTGCATTAATATATTCTAACTCCTCAAATTAACCCAGATTCTCCCGTACTTTGTAGTAAGAAGGATTAGCATTTAGCATTTTAGCCTATATTTCAAGCTCGAGTAGAATGGAGGGAATACTCACGTTGTGAACCGAATGAGGTCAGGTAAAACCTGTGTAGTCATATTTCTGGGTAAATAACACTACTTAATTTTCTCCACACACAAAAGGACATGGCAGCAAAGTCAGTGTGATTTAATCTTGTGTACTGGGGGAGAGGAGTCCTGTAATTAAGTTTTCATTGGCACTTTTCAGCAGCAGTTCATAATAAAATTTGTTTGCTTTGATTGTGGGTGTACACGCTGTGCCACTAGCCAAGATTAGCATATAAACTGCAGGGGGAAAAAGCCTGTTACTGGAGTTCAGTATGAGTGTTCTAAAACATAATTTATGACACCTATGTTAGTATAAAACGTGCTAGTTTTCATTGTTTCCTCATCTGTTTTACATATTAAAAAAAAAGATTTTTCTAAAAGCTTCTATTACAATAAAGAGTAAACTTGAAGCAAAAAGAAAACTTTTGCAGCTGCTGTGTTGCCTTTGATAAGCAAAACGTGCATCTCTCCATACTGCTCATGGCTGTGTTGAAGGAACTGCTGAAAACTTTTCACTTGTTGATGTCTCGAGACTTCAAGAAATGCCTGTAGTCGCCTTTTTGAGTCTTTAAACTAATGTAGTTCCTTCAAAATTAACACAGAGGTTAGTAATCCACTTTAGCAATGGTTTCTTGTGTAGTTCCAGCAATACTGGTATTAACCACCTTGATTAAGCGAAGGAGAATAGACTATTACATCTCTGCTCCCTCTTGGTGTATGGCGGTCCATACTATAATCCAAACGTCTGCCTTTATTAATCCTAGAAGGGAGAAACTGCCTTAAGCTTCCTGCTGTGCCGCATCAGAAGGGGCTGCCTTAATCTGGGAGGACCGCAGGGAGGGATTTGTGTGCGTGGGGGCCTGCAGCCATTATTTTGTTCCCAAGTATCTCTTAAGGGAATTACTCCTCCTGATTGCGACCAAACACCAGTTGCACTGGTGCAACCTCCGACAACATCTGCCTGGCTGGAGTTGAGACCAACGGTTTCCACATCCCTTCCTTTCCAAAAGCAGCACTGCCTGCTGATGCCAGGTGTTAACTAACACACTGGTGACTCTCGAGTATCGGAGAGCTCGAGGGCAAACGCTCCTCGGAGCAGCTCCTGGCCGAGCTGCGAGCCCGGGAGCTGTCCTGCAGGGCAGTCCTGCACGCCAGGAACCGCAGCAGCCCCGGCACGCTGCGTTTCCTCCCTCGCTGATCCGTGCTTTACACCATCCTGTTAGGCATAAGGTCTTCTGAAAACTTTCCTTAAGCTCTAAACAGGCCACTCCTCTGCTACACTAGCACAGTCTGCGCTAGCTCTGCTGTTAACGCTTTATTGTGGACGTGTTGGTGATAATTGTGGGGATGATACCACACCGTGATGCTGCCCCGTGTCCTTTGCGTGATGTAGATCACGTGCTGGGCTGGATGGTGACAGTGGAGCAGCTCAATGGCCCTTCCTCCCCTGAGGAGTCTGACCTTGTTTAGCCCTCTTGGGGATGATCATCGCTACAATGTGAAGATTTATCTTCACACCCCTTTTCATGAATTCCCTATTTCTCTGGCCTCGAAGGATTTGCTTACATGTAAGCTTAGAAAGCAGTGGGTTTTAGCTGCCTTAATTTAATTTTTGTGGACAAATATTTTTATCAGAGAATAAGTAACTAGCAGTAGCCTGCTGGAGCTTGCGAGCACATTACTAAAATATTTGTCACTGATGAAAAGAAGGGGTTTCATATGATGATTGCCAATGCTTTTGCAGTTAAATGTGCTGCTCTCTCTCCCTTCTCCTTACCTTGATCTTTATGAGATCTCACAGATGATGCTAGGGATCAAAGAGACTTTAAAGGACTGCAGGCAGATACAGTGAAGGGCTAAATGGGTCCCTCTGGGTGAATCCAGAAGCTTTTTCTTTGGGGATTTTAGTGGAGGTCAAAGGCTCTGGAGATGAGACAGCACAGTCACCATCTGGACAGAGGAGATAACGCATCATTATTTCAGAGTCACTCACAACTTCTACTTCCACTTTGCATTTCAAAAAAGAAATGACAGGCTTAGGGATGCACCATGGCGAGGGTGGTTAGCATGTGTAGGTGGGAGGTGCAGAGGGGGAACTAAAAAAATAGTGTTATCCCACAGTGACTTCTTTTATTTCTTCTTTCCTGCAGTGTGAGAGAGCTGGAAGGGCAGAGCAGTAACAGACTTGCATGCAACTGGCCTGTCAGTGGGGCAGGGTTCACCAGCTGGGAATCATTGGATTAATATAAAAAAATCCAGTCACTGAGCCTCAAATATTTAGAAGGAAAGTTACTATTTCATGGATTCTGTCACCAAATAATCAGCTAGAAATGTGAAGGCACCTGAGGTTTTTTTCTTCATATTCTTTCCTAGACTTAGTGGTGTACCAATTCTTGCAGAAAAGACAAAGTGTGTTGCAGGGGAAAGTGCCTGCTATGAGATGTCTGTACTCTTGCCATCTAATTATTATTTATAAGTTTGTTTATATATTTATAAATACGTATATAGTTTTTATTTATAAAGCATAGTTTCTTATTTGTAGCAATATTTTTTCTCCTCCCCTTGGAGAGTCTTGGAACCTTAGAAGTAGTTTATTTTTTCTACTTCAAGTGGAAAAGAACCTGGGTGAGAAAGTAACTTATGACTAAAAATAACATCAGTAGAAGATGGAGTTATCTTGTTCCCATCTTCATATTAGCATATGAGATGGGATATTGATATATTATTGGTATTTTAGATGGGAAACCTCTTTCTGTTTTCCCCTGAGTAGACAAGAATGGGAAGAATGTAAGAAGATCCTTAACTCCTTCCCCTTTAATTTCATTTTTACCCATTTTCCTCCATCTGTTTTTTCCCCTTTCCTGTGTCTTATATCCTAATCTCAGCAGTTCTCCTTGGCTTTCGATATTCAATTCTGCACCAAAAAGCTGTAGATATATAAGAACATAAAGTTAGTGCAAAAATAAGCTTTAATCAGCTGGTATTGTGTAGAGCTTCATAATTTTTGAGTTTAATTTGCAGTAAGGATTAATCCACTATTTAGTGTGTAAGCTTATGATGCTTGCAAACCAGTGCATGTGTACATGCTCTTAGGAAATCAAGTTGTGCACCACCTAATTAAAGCCTACTCTTTCATTAATTTCATACTTTCCTACTCCTACCTACCCTAAATTTCTACCTCAGACAGCCCGAGTAATTCTAAGGTAAAAATCCCAGGTCCACGTAAAGGTTTTTAGATCATTCAATTGCAAGACCACTATATTGGTCCTGATACTAAAATGACAAAGCTGCTTCTGTAGAGTGCAGGCAAACCAAATGCATTTCTGGTAACGTACCGAGAAATTCTTGCTTTAACAGAACCTGAGGTTTGTCTGTTTGAAATGTGGCTTCAAAAGGGCAAGAGGCAAATGTTGTGCAAAGGTGATAGAAGCCCTGAGTGTATTAGGAAAAGTTAGTGTAGCAATAATGACAGTTTTTTTTTTGTTGTTGTTTTTTTTTTAAATGAGGCTTCCAAGGATGCAAATTCTTGAATATCTCATATTAGGCCCTTGCATGATCTCATATTATGCCCATCAATGTTATCCTTTTCACACTGAAATACAGCAAAATTCAAGATAATCTCAATCATGCAGTGAATATTAAAGCATTTAGAAACATCTGATGGGAAGAGCAGCAACAGGGGGACTGCACTGTGTAATTCATGCACTGATAAACCATATGGATATGCATATTTACCAGCTCCCAAGTTGCTTGCCCAGTAGTTGCTGTGAATCGTGGTGTGGAAACAGGACAAATCTGAGTCAAGTCTTCCAACTGCGTCTTGTTTCCACTTTTGGACATGCAAAGGAAAGGGAACGGTAGAAATCCCATAGCCACCTTAATCTGCACTTCCATTTTGCATTTTCTGTCACACTTTTTTTGCACTAGGGGCTTAGCTAAGGCTAAAAAGGAAAGATATTTGTTTTTTTCCAAAAATCTTTTGAAACAATTACTCCAAAGCAATAACACTAGCAGAAAATGCATGCTAGATTTTTTTTTTCCTCCATAGACCATCTCACTCTTCTCCAGAAAACTGGATGCAGCTTTTATAGTACCACACAATAAAAGAATATGGTAGCAAAGAGCACTTTTGTTTAACACAAGGTTAAGTCTTATGCCTGTAGACCATTGGTGCTCAAATAGCCAAGCAGGACGGCAGGTGTTAGAAAGCTTTAATTTGCCTTGCTTGGCTAACAGGCTTCCTCAGGAGAGTCATTTCAGAAATACTGTTTCCTCATCTTTTATGTTTGTTAATGAGGACAAAATACCACATGAATATTTTCAAAATGCAGATATTAGTGAGACTAAAAAAATGAAGAAATGTTCTTTTTTTGGTTAAATAGACTGCTGCTTGCATGGTGAAAATGAACCCTGCTGCCTTGTTCATACTTTCTTAAGCATTTGAATTGTCATTCGGAGTTATTCTTTTGGAAGTGTGGAAACAAAACTTCACTGTAAAGGTTTATTGCAAGCATATGAAAAAAACATTCATTTTATGTAATGATTAAAGTGACTGATGTACATCTTAATCAACATCTATTCACAGCAGGCCTGTTTTCAGGGTCGTGGAGGCAGATGGCTCTGCATTGTGGCTAATTCTGGAGCATCTGTGAGAGGTTTAAGCAGGAATCCGTAGGAAAGATGGAACACACATGAATTTATTTTGAGCAGTCAATGATGACCCAATGTAATTGTAGTCTGTTGTAGCTTTTTACCAGCAAATGTTAGTTCTGAAGCAAGAGTGCTCTCCCAGAGCACTCAGGGATTACCGCTTTTGCTATTTATTTTCTCCCTTACCTTCCTCAAGAATATAGTCATCGCTCCTTATCTTTCTGTATGTATTTTTTCTCTGGATTAATCAAAATCAGCCAACTGATTCCCTTTTAGCTTCATCTGCTATGGAGCAAAACCCTTATTTGTTTCTTTTCTATCATATGCTGTAGTGCTGCGGGTGATTATTTGTTTTGATGCCTTAGTCTTATCTCTAGCAGGATTTGCAACTTGGACAAGGATGTAGTTGTGGTAAATGACTCCAGAAGTCTGCCCATACAAGGATGGAGTACAGCATGTGTATGAGATGCAATGTCACTGTTTCAGTATTAATTACCACTTCTGTTTAGTCTAAATTACTAGATAAAGACCGTTATCTTCCCTTTCTACATACTTGTGATATTCTTATTATCTAGTAACAATATTTTTAACTTGTTAGCTGACATAATAGATTAAAACGTCTTTAGTCTTCTTTCCAGCTGTCATTCCTCTTGAGCTTTTTTCCTGCAAAAAGTTAGCAGTGATCTCAGTAACCACGGACTTCTTCAAAGCTCTTTGGCTTGGCTAAGAAGCACTTTTTCTTTTGCTGGTCACTTGAAAATGATGTGTGGGTTTTTTTTTTTTCTCTTGTTATGTAGTGTTGCTTCCTATTTTAGAACACTCTGATTGAAAAAGAAAAGCCCAACAGGCTTCCTCAACAAGAGAATAATAGCAAACAACTTAAGCAGCAAGAAGCAGTCATTGGAGCTTGTACCAGTCATCTTGCTGGCATGGCTGCAATTTTCTCCTTTGTTTTGGGAGAGATTCATGGTGACTTTAAAGAAAGTGAGGGTGGTTTTTATGGATTTGAATCATTTTTGTGTCAATGGGATACTCCTGCATGGCTGCAACGCTGCTGTGCTCTGTGGTTTGAGAGCAAGAGTATATAGAAATGTTGTTAATGTTCAAAGGAGTGTTCCCTTATTCCTGATTTTGTATCCTGGTCATTATAGCAAGCAGGTGCATAAGGGATTTGTGACTTGCTGAAGGAAAACAAGCCTGTTTATATCCTGCCTATAGCACTGATTGGGACTGCAGCTAAGTACCCCTGCCTTGTAAAATACCCTTAACGCTTGCAGAACACAGTGCTCTTTAATTCTGAATTCACTGTTCAATCCTTCAGTGTTTTTAACTTGAAAAACAATGATAATTCTATGAAATTTGCCTTTAAAGAATACATTCTATATGATTTCTGTGGTGGCTAACTGGAGCTGGATGGGAAGGCAGAAGAGTGAGGCAAGTGTGTCACAATATTCCACGCTGCACATCCACATCCAACAATTTGTGGCTTGGAAATTGTCTTTGCATTAGTAATGCATGTACAGATGAAATTTTTTTCACCAATTTATCTGTTTTCCTCCTGAACTCTCATGATCTTTTAGCATCTGCCAGTTTCTGCAGCGAGGAGTTACAAAATGCTTCCCACGACACCTTTAATTGAACTTACTGGAGAGGGTTTAGTGAGGAGGGGGGATCTTCTTTCTGAAAGAGCCACCTGCTGTTTTTATCTCCTACTTCCTGAAGAGACAGTGAAAAAACTAGCCCATATTTTTGTTTTGCATATCATCTGTGGTTTTACAGATCCGCTTCATCCCTCATCCTCCTGCTGTCTTTTCTTCCAAGGTGCAAGAAAAACACCATAACTAAATTCTGATGAAGTTAATGCATCACTGGCTGTTGAGATCCAGGCTACCCTGCTGTATATCCACCTGCTCTGCCAGATCTGCTGCAACTAGAGCAAGTGCTGACTCCATGTACCATGTTTTGCAGAGCTGTTGGTTAGTGCAAATTTTGAACTGGTCCCATGGAAATCTTTCTAAAGCTGCATTATATCCACTGACCTGGGAGGCTTCTGGAGCGTGTCTCTGGAGCCTTTCAAATCACAGGGGAAAATCATATTCAGTATCTTTGCAGGAGAAATAGATGAAATATTGTGTCTGCTCCGAGAATCAGCTTTGCCCAGTTTCACAGGGGTCTATTGTGATTTAACGTCATGGATTTATATGGACTTGAAACAATGAGGAATTCGGGTATTTGGTCCTTAAAGTTCTATTTTAATGAGGATTTTGATGCTCTTGTACATGAATTTGGAAACTGTGGCCTCTAGCACGGTGCATCCCATGGGCTCTCCCGCGGGTTGTGTGTCCAGCCCGGCTGCTCCTGCTCGTCGTCCGTGCCCCGTTCCTATGACTACCCGGCTCTCAAGGTGACAGAGGTTGGAATCCTCCTTCTCAGGAGCCAAATGGTGCCCTTTGACTCTCTCCCCTTTTCACACCCCGGCGGAGCGCGGCCTCTTGCTCCGCTCGGCGGCTTCTCCGCAAGGGGGTTCCCATGGCTACACGGAAGGAGATTTGAAAGGAGGCGAGGAGTGAATGGAGCACAAAGACCTGCTTGATTTGAATGTGAACGAGGGAGGAAGGCTCCTTGCAGCTCATCTTTGTGTGCCAGAAATCCCAAATTTATCTTTGAAAAGTTGCTTTCAATTTGTCGACTTGTGTATGTTCCCTGTTTCTTGATTTTCTAGAACAAGAGTTGTCATACTGGAGGCATTGAGCAGCAAGAAACATCTTTCTTAAATTCAGTGATAGCGTTCTATCCAGTTCGACCCAGTTAGCGCTCTTTCCCCTCTGGAGTCCATAAACATGATTCAGTTTTTATTTTTTTTTTCCTGAGAACTTATATGCATTAAATACATGTTGTTTTTCATTAGAATGGCAATTGAGTCATCCTATCAGTTCTCTAATATCCAAACATCCTTTTTTTGTGAAAGAATGAACGAATCAGCAGACCTGTAAGCCGAGTTCCTTGACCTAAATACTCCAGCATCCATGGGGTGCACAGGGCACATCTTCCAGCCAGGAATATTTGCTTCTCCTAATTCCATTGCTTTTACTAATCATTTTCCTCTTGTTTCCTCCCGTTGTTGTCCCCTTGCTCCTCCTGCTATCCAGCTAATCCCCTACTGTGTCCCATGGTTCCTGCTTGCCTGCAGTGTTTCAAGGACATGCTCTACATGCCATGGGTGCGTTTTGTTTTTCCCTAAACCTGAGTTTGAAGAAAACTAATCACAAACTTCCCCCGTCCTCATTATGGAGAAATAGAGCAACCCTCCAGGGCAAAATATTATTTAATCTATTTTGAGAGGTGCAAACATGCTTTTAGGGTGCCATTTAAAGGCAGAGGCACCGTGGGAATTCCTGTCAAATATTTTTCTTGTGAATTATTAACTACCGGGAAGAAAAATCAACTTGAGGAGCTTGGCTTTGGTCTTGATTTGGCAATTTTGGAGGCTTTCAGAATTGGTCATTTGGATGTTTGTCTTGTGGATATCTGCCTTCTGTCCAGTGGAAAAATGTTGTGCAATTCCAATTATTTGTTTTTAATTCCCGTTCCCTCTACTCCCCTGTCGAGTTTAGTTGTGACCTCATTAACTTAGCCCTAAATGGGAGGAATGGCATCCCCTGATCAATCTTAAATTTTAATTTACTGCCGCTGTGTTCTGGCATGTTTTTGAAAAGCGGTTAATTATTAAAATTAAAGCCACCAACTAATTATCTTAAAGCTGCTGTTTGAACAAGAAACCGATTTTCATTTAATATGCTAGAATAAATGGGGATTTTTTTTTCTCAGTCTTCACACTTCTGTGCTCCTGTCTACTGAAGCAGAGAGACCCTCTTAGAGTTCAGTAATGAGAGAAAACAAACTTATATGGGGATGGAGAGTCTCTCCTTCTTAATTTTTATAATTTGTAAAACTTCTGAAAAAAAAAGAGTCAGTGTTTGGTCAGAACGTACATACTCACTGCAGAATTATAATAATGAAAGAAAAATCCATTTCAGAGACTGAAAACTCTCACAAAAGCAATCTCATTTGCACAGTGCTCTTATGTCCAACTGGACCTAGCACACAGAGAAATGCATACATCGTACCAAAATTAAAAAAAAAAAAAAAAAACAGTCCCCAGATTCAACTGTCTCCAGGTCACTTTTTGTTTTGGTAGTGGTTTTATTCTTCTTGTTCATGGAAACAGCCAATAATATAGGAAAAGGCTGCATAGAGCTTCTCATAGACATTGGAAGATGCAGTGTTCTTTTCTTTGCTTGTTTTCAAACTTCCAGGTGTATATACTAATTTTCCTAAATAAATTATAAATTAGATCAGCATCTGCCCATATCTTTCCTGTTACTGCACTGAGAAGCATACCAAGTATTACTGCTTGACTTTCCTTGGGTTAACGGAAAGCTGTGAAACTAATTACAAAGCCAGATGCAATTCCCTAAGAATCCTTGCAATCAAAACAATAGGAAAACTATAGTTGTTATATGAAAGGGAGGATAAAAGATAGCGTTTCTTTCAGAATAACTATAAAATACAGCATGAAATGCAGCTCAAGGGAGATTAGGAGATGGTGAGGTTTGATTTCAATCGGATTCCACCCTAATAAATGTGTAGGAGACAAGAGGGCTGCAGGTTATAGGGTGTAGAGGTTTATAGGGTGGAAACCATCCTGCACTATTTATGCATGGAAAACAATTTAGTGAATTTTTAGAATTAACTGTGCCAATAAAATAGCTTAATATACTGGAATGACAGAGTAGCCTTTCTTGGAGTTTTATATTAGGGTAGGAAAAGAAAAAGTCATTAAGCCAATAGATCAATATGTTTAGGGCAATATTTTAGTTTAAAGAGTGAGGATGCAAATTTTCCCTATTATCCAGTTGTTAATATG